GTTAAATTGTACGATAAACGTGATGACTTTGACTTTCCGATTGTTAACTTTCCATTTATTAGTAGTAACATTCCAATATCATCAGCTTATGGAGTGTTTGTGTCTCAACTAATTCGTTACGCGAGAGCTTGTTCATTTTATTCTGATTTTTTAAGTAGATCGAGGCATTTGTCATCTAAGCTTCAACTACAGGGATACTTGCGAACTAAACTTATTAAAACCTTTAAAAAGTTTTATGGGCGTCATATTGACTTGATTGGTAAATATAACATGTCTCGCTCGGCTATTATTCTAGATATATTTAATTGACGCGTATACAATCTCCCTGATTATGTCTGTCTACTACATCGTTAACACTGTTCATCACGTGCATTTTGCATACCGATAGTCTATTGGCCAATCACGCTATTTTACCGAGATTTCGCCTAATAGTTTGGATGCAGCTATGGCGGCTGTGGCGCCATGCAGGGTAAGCTTACTTTTCCGGACACCTGTTACCACTGTTTGTCGTGTATTTTGTACATGGTGCACAGTTCATATGCTGATTACACTATTTTGCCTTATTACACTATTTTGCCTATACCGTTTTTTTAGGACTTCGAATTTTGTCTAATGGTTTGGATTGTTCGTACTTGGTTTTATTTTATTATTACAGACCTCCAAATACAAGGGTTGCCTTTTGGGATACATTTTATTATATGTTATCAAATGTATTAGACAATGGTTCCTTTCTTATATTAACAGGGGGTTTTAATATCAACATTTTAAGTAATTCAAGTAATTGTGTTAAATTTAAAAAACTATTACAAAGATTAAATCTTGAAAATCTGATAAATGAACCGACTAATTTCACAACTCTACCCGGGTCATGTATTGATCTTTTTATTACTAATAAGAAATCACTTATATCAGATATTAATGTTAATCAATAATATGACTAAAACTAAAAACATACAAAAATTTCTCCGGGAAGGTGAGGCCCCCATACCCCGCGACGATTGATTGGATGTTTGGAATTCGGGTCAGCCAGGTAGGCTATATTGGACCAAATTGAAGTTGCTGTATTCACAGGCTGGAATAGCCGGAAACGCGTTTGCGGCAGTTAAATTTTTAAAAAATTTTACCAACGGTCCCGTCTCCGTAGACTGTAAACGATTGATCTTTTGATTGGAATTCGAGTCAGCCATCTTAATTAGCCTATATTAGACCACGTTGAAGTTGCTTTGTTCACGGGCTGAAATAGCAGGAAAACGTGTTTGCAGCCGTCATTCCAAAATGTTCTGGGGGGGGGGGGATCCACACTAGGTAAGCTCCGATTCGTCGCCTCTCGAGGAAGACCGCGCCGCTGTCTGTAAACCCGAAATTTTTTCGGGCATTTCGGGTTCCTGCCCCCCTAACTGTCATCGTGCCTATGGAAGAGTTTTTCTTTCATTATTGATATTTTGAATTTGGTGGTGTTTTAATTCATTTGTTTTTTCTTAAGAACATTGACTGGTCACGTAATGGATAGGTGGGGTTAGTAAAGGAAGGGATGTGGATATATGATGTCATGATAAGCGAATGTCTTTCGTCTATTTATACTTATTCTCCCTTTCCTGAATATCCATGATTTGGAGGTGAAAAGTCTAGGAGGAAACATACGCGTTATAGTGAACTCATCCACGAACAAAACGTCACGGCATTTGCATTATTTATTATGACTTCGCGGAGACAAAAATCTAGATGATTGTAACATGTGGTCGAAATGTCATAGACCAAGAAATGACGTGTATGACGAGAAAGACCAGTACCTATTATGTGGCACTGCCATTGGTATTACGCTATGGCCTATTACATATTAAACAGTTTGTACCTTATATTCTAGCTGTATGTGATAACAAGATTGACCCACCAGCTTGTGATAACTATTTCCCCAACTCCCATATAAAATATAGTGATGGTAGTACTCAAATATATATAAAAGGTACATGTTCAAGTCCTGGACGATGTAGCTGTCCAAAAGATGGTTTTTATTCAGCTGGCCCGACGTGTGAGAGTACGTATTCATAATCTTCTTGTTTATCATTTATTGTTGTTTTGTATTTTTTTAAATGCTAAATAAAGTTGGTATTGACTATACGAGCGTGGGAAACTTAGAGGTCATGTTAAGTAAGCGTAACGAAGCTCAACGATGTATTACTTGGCGCTGATCCACCAATGCAATGTAATTCAGAATTCATTTAGAGAGTGCCATTTAAAATAGTCAGTAATATTTATATATCTATTGTTTTTTCATACACTAAACCTAAATGTGGCAACAAATTGTATAAAAACAAAAGAGTAAGTTACGCTGAAAGATAGTGTAAACCCTGATCCACATTCAATAGTAACCAGGCATTTAATAATTATGATAGTGTAGTATGATTTAGTAACTTATTTTCATTAAATTTTATAGTGTGCTCAGCTATTACAAACTGTGATCTTGAAACCTGTACATCATCATGGAACGAGAGGTGCTCTAGATGTGAAGGAGTACGAGATGAAAAGCCTGGCTTTAGAGCTTATGTTATTTCCAGGGATAAAACACGTTGTACAAGTTAGTATGTAATGTACAGGTATCAATATTCTATAATATGTGGCCAACTTAAATTCCAACCATGTAGTGACGGTCGTTGTGTTTGATGCAGACGTTCCAGAACATAATGGAAAAATAGAATAAAAGGGGGTTAACGCCGACTGGGTTAATACGCCATACAGTGTGTCACGAGAGACATTTTGCCCGGCAAATTCAAACTGCCAAGGTATCTTTTACGTGCACGCCAATGTGTACATGGGACTTCGGCTTTTCGTCCCATCATAACGACTAGACAGCTGGCCTTGACAGACCCTCTGTACTGTACCACTGACAAGAGTAAGCCACGCCGGACAACCCGATAAACTTTTTCGGCCAACACCGGGAGCGAACCTGCAACCTCCAGGCTAGCAAGCCAGCGTCTTACTCACTTAGCCCCCGTGGCTCCAAGAACATAATAGAATCACAAAGTTGACTAACTCTTGCTTGACGTTTGTATGTGTCGTTATATTTGGCAGAGGTCAGTGGTTCAGGACTTTAATAAACCCAAGGTCAACAGTATAATTAATTTTCTATTATTACAGAGGCGTGTTCCTGGCGATCTTACAGTACTCCATGTTATCCTGGAAGCTGTGCTAATGAACTGGCATCAAATTGTATATGTACATCAGGATTTACACGATCAAAATGCGATAAAAGTAAGTATGGCTGCTGTTTTCTTTTAAAATCAACAGAAAAAATAATGGCATAATCAAACAAACAGGTAGTTGTTTTTTGTCGACATCGATTTAAGAAAAAAAGTATCATAGTATGTTCCACTAAGGTCTAGCCCGCGTCTTAATTCTCTGTCTAATTTCCTGAATAAGAAAACTTTAAGCATCATATTCTGCTGAGTTACCTAATTCAGATGGTGTGTTGCTAAGCAGTAAAAGTAGTCTCTTCTCTTCACAACTGATTGGGTTTGTTTATTCTGCAGCATTGCATATTGCGATTATACAGCAATGTTATTTACACTAGCAACCAAAGTGGTCACTTCACTAAGTAGATGAGGCTGTTGTCAGTGACATTAATATTCACATTAGCAGTGCCGCATGTCACATATATTCAAAGAACAGTTGCGAAGTTACTAATGAATAAACTAGTCACAAATTCCTATTGTATATTATTGAGTACCGTAAACGTAAATCAGTTACTGGACAATGTCTATTAATGACAATTTATGTTTTTAGTAACAGAAAAGCCTTCAATAAAAGAGAATATACTAAGTCTGACAGCCAACAATGGAGGTAAAATTGATGCACCAGTAAATACTAATGCCGGACCAGTTCAAGACACTGTATGGACTAATATCGTTAATCCTGTTAATATTCACTTTAGATTTACTGCGGATTACCAACCAGTTGTGCCTTCTCGACAGGCGTATGTCAATGATTTTAAAGCTGGCATTATTAGTGCGAGTTTACGTCTGAAAAGAGGTAGATGTCTTTGTAATATTTACTCATAAATACATCCCACGGCACTGTCTTAATCCAACACAAACCTGTAATTCCTTATTCGTTTTGTTTCCATTAGCATTAATTTTCTTATTCCTATGGACCATACTATTTAGTAATGCATTTGTTAACAGCACATCGTTCCGCTTGATGCCAGTCTCAGATTGCTTCATTTGTTCTTGGAATACATTGTTCTATTTCAGATGTCAATAATATTCTTTCTCATTCTTGTGGCGGACCACAGAGTCGAAGTAATCCTAATCAGGGCGTGTTTACCTGTGAACAGACATTAACAGATTTATCTCAGTTATCTCTACCATTTAATCACAAGGATGTGTAAGTTTTCGTAAATAACAAGCATGATCCATGATATTATAAAACACGTGAACGACAGAACAAAAAATGTTTTCCGATTTCTTTGACATAACAAAAACAAAATACTGTGTATGCACATTACTTCCCACACAGTTAATTATTATGCTCAAGGGGTAGACAGTAAAAGCCCAATTGTCTGCCTTAAGGACTTGAAGCCTTGGGTAAAGTACCAAAATGAGATGTCTATAGTACGAAAGAGTTTCTATGTAACTGCATATAGCAGGGTAGATTGGAAATAATTCTGATAATAACTGCCAGACATATTTAAATGTGTTGAATCTTGTGAATGCGATAGAGGATAAAGTTATTTTCTTGTCTATTTAAGATTATATCTGTTTCAAAATGAATTTACACTGTTGACGGATATCTTTATATAGATATTACACCCAATAATTGATATTCTGCAGTTTAAACAAGCTGCTTTGTTTACAGTTTACTATAATGTCCATTTTAGACTCTCGTTTTCGATGTCAGTTGCCAATGGTGGATTTGTTAAGATTGAAAATAAGGAAACACGCTTGGTGGAAACTAAATATCTACAAGGATTGACTCAAACCAATACATTTTCTATAACATTTGACAGTGTAGATCCATATCATTGTAAGCCCCAGTCAGGATGTTCTCTAGATATGCTCTCTGATGTAGACTTATCTAAACAGGTACATAATTATATACTCTAGACCAATATTATTGTAAACCTCGATATTCACTATATATGCGGTCTGAAACATATATGGTTGCTGTTGACATATATTATTGATATCGTTTCTTCAGATATTATTTGAATTATAAAAACAAGTAGTTGTATACCATAAATCCATATTATTGTGAACGTTAATGACCTGCTGCTTTCTGGTGTTGATGTTCTGGACAGTATATTTATGTTAATGTAAACTTCCAGGATGGTCTTAGACATGTAGCCAAACTGTCCTCAGTTACATGTTCTTTAGATATGCTGTCTGATGTATACTTGTCTAAACAGGTAGAAACGTACCCCAGTCACATGTCACTGTAATAGTCAACATTGGATTTAGACACTGCCTATTATTATCTACTCAATACTTTTTTGAAAAGTCATATCTACTACTACTACTACCTTAGTTCCTTAACGTCTACGACCACAAAAGTGATATCGCAGAGAAAGTTATATCTACAACTCTTATATGTTATACCCCATCTCGATACTGTCGTCGACTATTACAGCTCCAAATGCTCCGTTTACGGCAAATGCAATGGCACAACCCGATTCTGAATACTTTGGCGGGGCATAGGCAAGTTTCATTACCAAGCTAGTATTTCATGGGTAATCACTGGCGTTGTTCCTTTTTCGAAATTTAATATGAGTTCGAAATATTGGTTTGTGCTCAGTGTTAAACAAAGAGGTCAACGGAGTATATTAGCCAATAAAAGAATACACCATGTGTGAATAATCATACATTATTTATTGTGTAGCGTACCAAAAGCTTTTCTTGGGACGGTTGGATTGATGCAGATGCTGGGATTAAAGAATATTCATATGAACTGTTTGAACTTCATCCTGTTGGTAATGAACTTGGAGTCAAGGCTAGGAAGACGGGGTCAAGCACTACATCAGTAAGTATCAGACAATACTTACTATAACGAAACAATGCTTCCGGGATCAATGTAAAGCTCAGATGTACATGAGTATAAATAACATAATATTTTATAACCAGATGAACTGAATACTAAAATGTTCAGTTTCAAGAAGATATCGATGTATAAACACTTTATAATATGTTTGTCATTGTTAAAAATAAACATTTTATACTTACAGAAAAGTGTTGATGTTACCTTTTCCAAACCTGCCGTGTATTCCATGATTTTATCAGCCTATGATAAAGCTGGAAATTATAAGAAGGCTAGACGATTGGTTATATTTGATGATACATCTGCTGTAACAACGACGTCCGGGAGTGTGCTTAGAGTGACTACTGCTCTTTCTACTACCAATTACAAATGGCAGACTAATTTAAATTCTGTTACAATCAGTTGGACTAATAGATATATCAACACTATACATCATAATGGTCGTTTTCTAGCAGCAGTTAGATCAGAACCTGGTGTAGAGTCTCAATATGATGATAATTATGGGTCTAGAACAACTCAGGCAATTAGCAATGTACAAGGTAACCGTGGCTTAATTATGGGATATGGTTGTAGACTCTGAAACGTTTCTACCATTCCAATAAATTTTAAAGCAAGGAAAATGAAATAGTTTAGACCTACTATTACACTCGCTTAAAAAAAGATTGTTCAATTTCTATTAACAGAGTGGTGTGATCTTTTCTTTGACATTTGATTATAGTATCCATTTATGTTGTAGGAATTGTTGGTATTAAAACCATATATAAAGTGGACCACGCTGGAGGAAGTTCGATTAACCAGCCTTCTCAAAATGAATTCGTAGATCTAGGAACTGATCAACAAGAGACAATAACACCAGTTCTGAAAGATGGCGATACTTTACGATATTTTATCAGAGCTTACGATATTTTATCTCAATACAAGGAAGAATCGTTGACCGTCCATTTTGATAGTTCACCACCTGTTATTGAAAATCTATGGTTAACAAAAGGTGATGAGGTTAATCTAGCAGTTCATGGTTTTGAGGAACTTGATAAAATGGTGTAAGTATTTGAATACTGGAACAATCATCCTGATATTAACGATATCTTCAACGTATGTCGCATATGTTAAAGGGCAAATCCCGATAATATTTTGGAGAATAAAACTGCTTAATTTTGTGTTAAAACCCCTCAAAATCCCGTACCTAAGGGCCGAGCAACTAATTCTATATTTGTGATATGTTTTCAAACAACTCACACCCGTCATCCGGAAACGGAGACCGGTGTCCCAAGCTGTATTATGCGGTGTCTGGATAAAATGAGACTTTTATTTTATAAAAACAATGTGTAGGTGAAATTTACCTTTCGTTATCCAGTACGGCACATGGGCCATTCACTGTATAGACCTCTAAAGGAACGGCGATAGATTATCAGGCCACCCAACGAAATAATTGACCAGCAATCTTAAAAGGGTTACGTGCCCGGATAAGCATTTTTGACGTTCGCGTCCAAACAACTCAATATTTTGAGCTGAAAATTTTGAGACAAGGTAAATACACCATTCCTCTATATTTTGGCCCTTAAATTTCATACGAATTCGGATTTTTATTTTTGAGACTCTGTTTAAGTCGGTATAGTCCCTTTAACTTGTAAACTACCAATAAAAGAATGGAAATTAATCTAAACTTGAATTGAGTTATGTAGGTTACTTCCTTTTCATTTAGAATTTTCATTCAGTTTATCTGACCAGTTTCTGTTTGACGTTGACGCCATATTGAGCAAATCAGAATGATTAACATTATGTTATAGATAGCTTGGTTGATAGTACTGAATGGTTGAATTATCGACAGGAAAGATGGAATTATGTTGTGAACATATTAAATATTAACACACATGTATTGATATTATATGATATAGTAGTTTCTGTTTGACGTTGACGCCATATTGAGCAAATCAGAATGATTAACATTATGTTATAGATAGCTTGGTTGATAGTACTGAATGGTTGAATTATCGACAGGAAAGATGGAATTATGTTGTGAACATATTAAATATTAACACACATGTATTGATATTATATGATCTAGTAGTTACCTTATAGGATAGGTAATAGTGACAGTATATACTGAATGATATCTTGTTATATAATTTACAGCATAGAATGGGTAGCCTATGATGATCATAGTGGAATAGAAACAGTACAATGGAAGATATTGGATCATTTAACGGAAGTAGAACATGGATCTCAGCGTATTCCACCACAAGGCGAAACAACGGTAAGTATACGACAATGAAAGGAAGGTTTTATATACCAATAGGGAAACTGTGTGAATATCTTCCCGTGAATTGCTTATTAAATTCTTTATTCTTCTAACAAAAATGAGTACACGATATTTTGTATTTAAAAATACTTGGATATTAATTAAAGGGAGAGGATTGGGTCTTCACAATGCAACAGGGGAGACAAGTCCTCACGCATGAGCCATTTGACTACTATTGTTTACTCTGTATTGATTTTATCTTTCAGAACATTAAAGAGTGCCAAAGTAAATATTCTAATAATGCCAGAGGAGCCAATTGTTATTGCATTCCTACTAGCACATGTTATCATCGCCATTTTCAAATAAAACAACCTACGACTGCTACACCCGGAGAAGGCATCTTAAACAATAAAAATACTGGTACGCATGATCATGATTATCGTATCGTGGTTACTGTGATGAACCAAGCTAAATTAAAAACAATTCTAACTAAACAGGCATGTATTAGATTTTCATTATAATACACATTGACCGCAAAAATACACTACAAGGTTTCACACTTTACATTATTCCTTGCTCCAAGCAAGATGCGTTTGGATTTTTAACCACAAATATACTCTACAATGTTTCACACTTTACATTCTTCCTTGCTCCATGCAAGATTTGTTTGGATTTATTATGATTGCGTGATAATTAAACATTGTAACATTGTTATGAATATATTATGACAACAAATTTACCTTTTTAGGGTGATATACCTTTTTATATGTAGAATAATTTAATTTGTCAAGGTGCATTGTCATGTTGGATTTATCAAAATTTTGCTTTTGAGGAATAGAACTGGATCTGGCGGAAATATTAATTATTAACTGGGTCTATACATTTTAGTCTATTTTAATTTCAGATTACAATTGATATTAGTCCACCACAACAAGGGATGGTGCATGACGGTAAATATGGTACACCGGAAGTAGACTTTCAGCCAGATTTAGAACTATTTGCACACTGGGAAGGTTTCTTTGATAGAGAGAGTGGAGTGAAATTTTATCAGTATGGGTTTTCCACGTCTTGTTTGGGTGCCAATAAATTTCAACTGGATCTTGCAAATAGACAGGTAATCTAAGCAAATGAAATAAAAGAAATAAAATGAATCTTCATTAATGTAAATGTATTTGTCCTTGGTAAGATTTATCCTTTAATGGTAGAACCGACCCGGACATTTATAAGGGCTCATCTCATACTATTATACTTTTAGGATGTTCAACAGACTACATCTACGCATGCTTCTTGGACAGCACCGTCTGGTGGTAAATATTACATCACCGTGGTAGCATATAACCGAGCTTTAGAAGTATCTGTACCAGTTTGTTCTGATGGAGTGGTTGTAGATAGAACATTACCTACTATAAGTGAAATAGATATAGAAGGGGCCAGAATTAAAGGTGGTTTAATAAAAGAAAATAATCAAGTATATTATATATCAAATACAAGACGCAAATATTTACTTAAAGACCCAGATGCAGCTTGTATGTAAGTGCAATCTTTAATTTAAGTCATTTTCGTATATTAAAAATATAACGTTAAACTTCTTGTATCCATGTATTTATCATACTAGTTATCTCATTTACAATGGCAGGTTTCCGTTTTACATTCGTCCATTATAGTTTCAGATGTCCACCCCTTCTTCTTTCAATACCATCATTAGTAACAGTTCTGTACATTTTTAATATATTTCATTAAAATAAATCATTTTATATAGCAAACCAACCCATTGATACTTGTTCAACTAATGTTAATTATCAGCTAACAAAAGGCCTAGTCTGATAATATCTCCATCCCTCACCTTAACCGTTATTAAAGATCCCCATATTTATATCTTTAAAACATTAGAATAAGTAAACAAATTAAACTATTTTACAGTACAACATATTGTTTACACATACAAGCTAAAATTAATTAATGTGCTACTAAATCATTATAAATAAGGTAAAAGTAACATATTTCATTACAAACGAAGCTTAAAATAGAACGAATTTTTTCGATGAATTTTAACCTCGAAGTATTCCTTAATTAAATGAAGAGAATGCTATTTTAACAGAATAGATAAATATATTTCAGGAGAAAAGCCAAAACGGTCGAAGTTACTTATCTTTTTCCTATTGAGAGGTTTTCCAATGGTACAATACATACATATCCGGCGAATATGTTTTGTGATGAAAACCCAATGACAGATGTATATTTATCAAAGATGTATCTTGCTATGCATTATCATGTAAGTATATTCTTCCAGAGGTGAATTCAGAATTTGGACTCCCCTAAACAGAGCATGTCATTAACGTCCTGTTGTACTGTTCCGACTAGGTCAGCCATAACTAAAAGATAAACCCAATAACATATACTAGTTAGATTTGTGAGTTTATCATGCCCAAATTAACCACTTGGCTACTCGTAGAGTTGAAGGAGCCAGTGCGATGTATAACAGTCTTAATTGATAATATTGACGCAATTTGATTTTTGGACGAATAGCAATCGGTATATAGAGAATCTCCTACGAGTCTTTTTGATATCCAAAAATATCAACACAAGTCGATAAAGTAAAATAAACGAGGCTCTGCCGATTTTTTTTTTTTTTTACTTTATCAAATTACTTGGTCAAATCTCTAGTAAATCAGAATTAGTAACGCAGTAAAAAATATTTATCGAATTCTCTTTACCGGGTTGAGTCCCATTTTCATAGGTCTGAACAATCTAAAAACAAGACAAGAACATAACATATAGTAATTTTATTTCAGTTATATGTTAATTGGACTGCTAAGGGTAGTTTGATGAATACAGAAATTTACAATTATGAATTTGGTCTAGCATCTGCAGAAAGTTCAGTTTCTGCCCCTGACATTTTACCATTTACATCAACCCATCACCATTCTTGGTACCGTGGTTACCACCCACAACTTAGTGATGGAACCGAATTCTACATCAGTATTAAGGCAATTAACAAAGCTGGAAAGGAAACTGTTCAGGTTGGTGGCGCTTGTTTATGATTCTAGTACTTTAATCAAATATTGGTTTATTTTTCTACAAAAGTTTAAAAGGTTAGAATATTCCGATAAGACTTATGGTACCCATAAAACATGTTATAATTATTTTCCAGGGATTAGGTCCGATCTTAGTTCATACTATTCCCCCTACTCTTGGTGGTGAGGTATTGGTTAAATTTGAGGATGAGATATTGGAAGCCGATTGGTCAGCAGCAACTGTATCTGATCCGGAATCGTCGCAACTTACCTTTACAGCGGCCGTAGGTAAGTTTATGCATGAGTTCTGCCTTCGCGAAAACCCCTTTTTTTTAAAGAAGATAATATTTTTAATAAGTAGTTTATAATAGTGTTCGGGAATGGGGTCAAATCTGACAACTATTAGGAGAATAGTCATCATAAAATTGTATTCGGATCTGAAAAACGAAACGGTTGTTCTTTGTCATGAATATACAGAAGCAATGTATATATTTCATTATACAGGTAGTTCACCGGGAAGTGAAGACGTCTATCCTTATTCTTCCTTATCGTCTGGTGGAAGTTGTATGTTAGCTAACCCGCCAACCTGTACAGCTTTTTCCATGGAGGATCTTCATTGGGATTTACATCACAACTTTACCTACTATGTATCTATAAGAGTAGAGAACATTGTTGGATTACACAGTGTGTTCACATCTAATCCATATATTCATAATACCAGAAAACCAGCAAAGGGAGTTGTATTTGAAGTTGTTCTACCTGATGAGGCAGCTGACTTTGGAGTTAATGTAAGCTTTTTCATGTAAGCTTTTTCATCTATGCTTTTTCATGTAAGCTTTTTCATCTAGTTTAATGCACATAATAACCTTATGGTATTGTTATCATGTCTTTGTGTTAGCTGTTTGGTAACTTCGACCGGGTATCTCTTCTCATACACTGCAATCTACATAGCTGATTACAGAAACCTCTATATCCACTAAACGGATATTACAAAATACCTTTGTAACATAGGCTTTCATCTGCGTTGTATTTCTCTATTGGAACACATTTGTTTATGTTTATATAAATTTCCCTTTAGGAGTTAGAAGACAGTAATTTTCAACTGTCGACCACTAAATTAAAAGCAAGATGGTTTGGGTTTGAATCTGATGATGTGGCCGAACACGTGACTTACAGTATTGGTATTGGTTCACAACCACTTGTTAGTGATATAAAAGATGAAAACGTTGGCAGTAAGACCCAGCATACGTTTCTCGGGCTTAATTTACAGCTGCACAAGGTAAGTATAATCTTTTAATGCAACAATTGTATACAAAAGCTACAAGATACTCGTTCGTCAGAAAAATCTCCTTATTGCTCTGTCCATAAATGCTCCCCATCCTTTCAGACCCGTGTAGACTGGTTAAATTTCCGGAAAAAGGCCTTCCTTAACAATCAAGGAGCATTTTTAAGTAAAAGTGGGGAACCAGGCCTTTCTAATGATTTTGGTGTGCTGAATAAGAATATACATGTTCCCAAGCCGAAATACGAGTTTTTGACCGTCTAATTAGCATAAATACAAAATGGCCGCCAAATGCTGCTAGATTGTCAGATATATTGTTAACTATTGACTTTTGGGCCTAATGTATTACAGACATATAGGAAGTCGACCACAATAAAACAAAAAATGATGTCATTATGCCCCTGTGAAGTCACTATTACGTCATATCCAAGATGGCCGCCATATTGATCAAAATTTTGTATTGATGTCCCTTTCCGTTTGGATATTTGTGCGTGTCTACCATAATGTACAGGGAATAAGCTGAAAATTTCAGTCAAATTGCTCAACTCTGAACCGAGATAATAGCGATTGACTTTTGGGCCTAGCCTCCACAGCAAAATAAACGCCAGTACGATTTCAAAATCATAGAGGCACTTAATCAAATCATTCTAAAAAACGACTTACTAAATGGATCAAAGTAATGTTGACACATTAGTGATTAATTCATCACAATTTCAAGACTTTACGAGAAGGTTTAGAGTCTGTACACAAGTCTATACCTGGTGTATCCACCACGAGTATCAATAACAGCAGCACAGCGTCTGTACATGGAGTGGACCAGACGATTGGTGAACGTCATTGGCACCTGGAACCACACTCTCAGAAAAGTCTGGCACAATCCATTGGCTGTGTTTGGTCTCCACTGAATTTCATCCCAAAGTTTAAGTCCGGACTAAGGGCTGACCAGTGCATAACGTTGACATCGTTCTGCTGTAGAAAGTCCCGAGTAACTCTGGCGGCGTGGGCACAGGCGCTGTCATGCTGGAAAACGTTGTCTCGATGACGTGCGAAATGTGGTATGGCGTGGGGTCTGAGAGCTTGGTCGATGTAGCGCACTGCTGTGATGCCGCCTCCTCTCCCTGGACCAAGATTTTGGAACATCACAGGACACACTTTCTAGTACAGGCCAATTCCACCCCAATCCATTATGCTTGGACCACCCCATGAGTCACGTTCCATGACACATTGGTCAGAGCAACGCTGGCCACTTCGACGCCATTTTCTGGTCCTGCCATCTGCAGTTGATGCGCAATACCGACTCTCAAATGTGTTGTTGGGCAAACTGTAGACGTTCACGTCGATGACAATCTAGCAGCATTTGGCGGCCATTTAGTATTTATGCTAATTAGAAGGTCAAAAACTCAAATTTGGGCTTGGGAACATCGATATTCGTATTCTTATAGTCTTAAGTCAAGAAATTACTCAAAATTTTTCGCCTTATTTTAACTGAAATATAGCCCTTATAAAACAGTGTATCAAATGCGTCAATAAGAAACTATGTGCAAAGTTTTGGGTTTCTGGATCAAAGATATTTCTCATAAACAGTGACTGAAAATTGAGTAAATTCTTAACTTAAGTCTGAAAATGTTTTGTGAACTTGGGGTCAGATTTAACGAACATTTGACTAGTCTAGTGCACAACTACAGAAATCTACATTTGTATGTATTGGTATTATTTTGTCAATATTACTATTGTTACTATTTTTAGACATACTTTGTAACAGTAACAGCTAGGAGTGACGCTGGAACAACAAAGGCATCGTCTAATGGTATCACTATAGTCCAGAAAAATGTTAACCTGAATAATGAAGTTCGGATAAAAGATGGCTCTGATTGTCAGCAAAAGGGTAAATTATTAAACAGCCTTATTCATAACTACAGTGCATTTTACGAATAAAGATTACCTTACAACCACATTTTTTTACGAATAAACATTGCCTCGTAAATACTGTATTGATGATTAAATTTAGATTACCCTGGTAGATATAAACATTTGACATCAACTATAATATCATCTCATAAAACCAATAGTTGGTGTAGGCCGACAGCAAGGGACACATTTATGTCTCTTGTATTTGATATTAAGTACTGCTGACAATGTACAATGCGTAATATGGCTATAAAGCTATTTTACTCTTAATTTTAATCCAATTTTTTTTCAAATAAAACATCACATTATATGCCTATCCTTATACCATATTACTTTTTTTCACTTTAACAAACATAGAAAGACTATCCTGGCTACCAAACCACCATTCGCAACAGGTGAATTATTTTCCTAATATTAGTAAGATAAGAATAGTACAATATTGATTTTATTGAACTGATACTGGAAGTATTAATTGTTATTGGTATTATCATTTTCATTTATTTATTTATAATAAATTCAATTAAGAACTCTCAAATATTATACGCCATTTTTTTCTGACACAGAATTCAAGCTTAGATTGTGAGTCGGATATTGACTATCAAAAATCAACATCTTATTACATGGCACATTGGACAATATCAAATGCATATAAACATATGTATCCTGATATTAAATGGACGTTACAAATGAGACAGAAAAACACAGGTAAATAAATGATTGATTTACTTTGAAATAAATCATTGAATTACTTTGAAATAAATAGTTAAATTACTTCGAAATAAATGATTGAATTACTTTGAAATAAATGAATATAATGCATTGGTAGAGGTTGATATTGTTGACTATAGCATTTGGATATATTTATAATTAGAATAAAAAAAATAGAATCTGTAGAGTAGTAGCGTTCGATTGTTAAAATTTACATAAATTGTATGGTTGATAAAAATAAAGAACTTTGCACGGCAAACTGATATTAAAATGTTATTATTGTTATTATTAAATTATTATTCATTGTTTAACAGAGGATATATGGCACAATGTAGACGATAAGAAGTTTCTATCAAATTCTGGTCAAATCTTCCAACCAGTAGCATTAGATTATTGTAAAACATATAGAAGTAGTGTGAGGTTCTGTTCGGGTGAAGTTTGTTCTCAACCTGTAGTCAGTAATGGTGTAACAGTGTTGAGCAAACCTGATATGCCACATATAGCTATACACCACAAAAAGATGCATGGATCCCAGGTAATTCAAATATAAATAATATAATCCAACTAATTAAGATGGTTTTTTTTCTATATGTCCAATATTTATACATAATCAAATATTTAATTTGCAGCTCACTATAGTAATTGTTGCTGGCAGAATGATAACACAATCACCCAGATATCAACTTTACGTTAATATAAAGTTGTACCAACAAATTAATGAGCACAGCGACTGCATAACCTAACTAAGTATACAATTAACACGGTATGAACCTAAAATCTGCCAATGAGCTACTAAATGTAATCTGATATGAAGGTTTGATTTATTATAATACGGTTATCATTTTATGTTTTATTCCATATCCCAGTTAGATGTAAGCTTGACTTACAAGAGTAATACCGAAGATAAAGTGTGTTCTGTGGTGTCTACCAAAGATAAATATATGTGGAGTATAACAGATAATAAACACAATAGTCATTTATTCACTAAATGGAGTAAAGTAAACAATGTGCAGAAAATCAGTGAGACAATGGTAAGAATCTAAATTTTAAGATTGTCTGTATGTTTTTATAAATCTGTTACAGCTGTATACATTATGAAAATGCCCTAAAAAGTAAACTTGATTACAGATTTTAGGCAAACCAATAGACAGAAAAGGGGTGGTAAGCAAACGTGGTGTGCACCACACAAAATGTTGCGTTGAAGCAAAAACATTTGTGTGGTTCTTTTCAACATGATAACTATGCAACCACGCGAACCTTTGTTCGAAATTGTGCCATAAAGACAAACTATTTCATGTAATATTTTTTTATTTCTTAGTTTCAGTTTAGAATTAATTTAGATGGTGAAGTTGATTTTAGTGAATGCAGAAGATTGGCTGTACGAATATTTAATAAAGCTGGTTTATCAACAATAATATCGTCGGATATTAAAAACTGTTCATCTGTAGATCCGGTATTAATTATACCGGCTATTATTATAGATGCTATAGGACAGCCATTAAATAACGGTAAGTACTCTTTGAATATATCGTGAAATTGAAATAAACACACACACACACACACCCAAATACACACTCGCTGTTGTGACAGATCCAATAATTATGTTGTTGTTAGTTAGTTGCAGGACGGAGGGGCTGACAAGGAAAGCTGTCTAGTCGTTCGGATGGGACGAAAAACCGAGGTTCCGTGTACACATTGGCGTGCACGTAAAAGATCCCTTGGCAGTTGGAATTCGATATAAGAGTAGGCCGTAGTGCCGCTGTCCGGGCAAAATTTCCGTCATAGCACACTGTATGACGTATGCCCGTCTTCATTAGCCCAGGTTAGGAGCAGAACAGTAGGACGTTAAACCCCATTTCATTTCATTTTGTTAGTTAGTTATATTTTACGTCCGCTTCCACCGAGGTGATATCGCAGACATGTCCACCCTTTTATGAGTAGCGTTTGAATAATTTGAATATGTTGTTTGTTTTGTATTTCAGATCCCAACACAAATGAACTAGGAACATCAATTTCTCTGGATCAGAACGCAGTCTGGTCTAAACCAGATGTGGACTATACACCTTATAAAAATATTATATCAGCCGTATGGCTCACATTAAGACATAGAAACTATACTTGGGGTTTACTAGAAGACCCAGCATTCTCTACTCTAACACATTTTACTCAACCGAAGATGATGATAAGAGATCCTTGTTCACATCCAGATGTTATAAAGTGTGGACAAACCGGTGAGGGAGTTTCGGTAATCTTCAAATGTCATTAAGGCTTTATTCCATTGATTCCTTGTGCCATTTCTTTAAGCCTAACAACTATAATATGGATACGTACTTTGAAGGAGTCTTCGTTGACTTCATCATTAAGACTCCAGTTTTACCGCATTTCTTTATGTTTCTTTTAACAGAAAACGAATACATCAATGTATTAACTCAAAATACTTTAAAACACGGAAGGCGGTATTATATCTGTATCCATGCTGATGCTGTTGATGCTAGTCATGAAAAATGGACGGAAGATTTGGAAGAAGTAAACGCATGTAGTGATGGAGTAACTGTTGATTTGACTCCACCAAATGGTGGTCGGGTGTGGGTGGAGAACTTGAAAGATTTTAAATACCAGGTAAATAGTTCTATATAAATATAGTCGAACCCCAATTATCTCTATCCTAGCATACTCGAAGACGTATAATATTTGCTGTGTCATTCATTCCTTGTAATTCCCTGTTAGCCCGATTAATAGTGTTTCGGGATAATGGTTCCATCCTAGGATAATATGCTATATAGCTATCCGTTGTTTCTAGTATTTGATTATATCTGTTTTAATATACTTTACATCAGTACTGAATTAATGTTTTTGTGATAGTTTTATATGAATAACCAATATATTATTTCAGTCATCTGACAGTGATGTAGCTGTTTACTGGGATAGTTTTCTTGACGTAGAAGAAAATGGTGGAAAAACTGTTCATCCAAGTGGAATATCAAAATATCATTTATATATCGGTAAGGTTAATTTGTTTCAAGGATACGACAGTTATCGCTGAATCCACAAGTTAAAAGTGAACGAACATACCTTATTGTCAATCTGTAAATATGCTGTTCTTTACATTTTGTAAATTTTCTTTTACTTATAAAGGTTCTATACAGGGAGGTGAAGATATTGTAACTAAACATAATGTTGGTTTGATAAATCATAAAATATTCCACCATCTTTCTTTACAAAATGGCCACACTTATTACGTCACTATAGAAGGTAGGTATAAATTCATGTTTCTGTTTCACAATTAGAACTATAAAAAATGTATAAAATAATAGCAAATAGAAACCATTAGATTAAATTTGTTAATCATGTATTAAAGTCGTGTAATTAATTATAAACCTACACACCCCAATCTTCAATACAAAATAAATTGATTTCTATTGCCCGCTTGGCAACATTGCTCGTTCGTTAGTATTCACCCATTTCTTTCATCCCTTTGTTCCATAAGCTGGCTCCATTATTGCTTGTTTAGTGCTATTATTGTTTTGTTTTTTGTATTTTTTTCAGCAATTGATTTTGTAAACAGGACAAAAACCGTTTCATCTGAAGGTTTCATTATTGATAATAGTCCACCAGAAACTACATCTAAACCTATACAATTTACTAATACATATATACAGTCAAATGATGTATTGTCTGCGTGGTAGGTTTATATAGAATATAGTGTTAGTAAACAAAATAAAATGAAAGCCATTATCCCCAGGCAAAGTATTTGGTTACCGGTGTTTTTGAAGGCGTGAAATAGTCAGCCTACCTTTTAAAGATCGGAATGCCTCGGTTTCGATCCCATGTAAAAGATCCCTTGGCAGTTGGAAGTCTCCCCTCATAGCACAAGGATGTTGGTGTTGAAATTAATTGTAAATAATGTATTAAAGAGCCTGAGCCATTGTATTTGATTTATTTACAGTTGGAGTGGATCATTTAAAGACACCGAAAGTGGTATAAGTCAGTATCGGTGGGCAATAGGTACTAGACCAGGTCATGAAAACATTAGGGCTTATATGATAACCGATAATGATTGTGATGAAGCGAACCTAGAACACAAATTGCAAGATGGACACGTTTATTACGTCACAGTTCAGGTATATCTCTTATTGTAATTTTACATTACGTTTTTAGATAGAAAAAAAGTTTAATGAATTATGCTTGATGTAACTATAGATAAGTTGGGAACAAACATTGTGCTTTATTATTTATCCCTTAATTATTTCAAAGAAATTGACACGAATCGTTAAGACGGTATGCTTATATTTGACGTAATTTCCAATAGAAAATTTTTCAAATTCATGCTATATGCTGGTTATCTTTGTATTCTATATACCAATTTTACAATAACTCTTGTCTGTTGTGGTGTTTCAGGCCATTAATGGTGCAGGGTTATCTACTACATTAATATCTCGTCCAGTGACAGTAGACACAACTCCTCCTACCACAGGACATGTCATCGATATTCTTAATACAAACTATACCGGAGATGACGTAGATTATATAACTAACCAATCACCACTTTCTGTTAGATGGCAAGGATTCCACGACCCCCATTCATCCATGCAATACTATACTGTTAAAGTTGGTACCTGTGATGATTGTGATGACATAATTCCAGAAATCAAAACAGGAATATCTACACGTAAGGAAAATATTATTACAAAGCACAATCCAACTTTTCTGTTATAGAACTATTGATGATATTCCCAAGAAGAGGTGGTTTAGTTTTATTGTAAAAATAGGGGCTACTTTCTTTAAAATAAATTATGTAGATGTCGTAACAACCGATATTTCAGTTTTTAGTTAAGTTTTATTGTAAAAATATGGACTATTACCTTTCAAATAAATTAAGTAGATCTTCTAATAAATTTTAAAAACCGATACATATTTCAGATTTTACCTTTCCACCGTCCAAATTTACTCCTGGAACAAAATATATCACCACGGTAACAGGGTGCAATATGGCTGACATGTGTACGTCGGCCATTTCTGACGGGGTAATAATTGACGTGACACCACCGGACGTGGGACGAGTTTTAGATGGAACGAAAGATTTAGATGTAGAATTCCAAGCAACCAGGTAATTGAAACACGATTATCATGTCTGTTTAGTTTTCCGTTTTCGGAACAAACTATAAAATAGACATGAGGATCCACGAATATGATTGGATCACGTTTATCGAGTCTCCTCTGCTATGGGACCGCTGCAGTAGTTATTGTCTTAGAAGGCATTTTACAATAACCCATTTTTATACGTGGTCATATATTGCCATCGCGCCCGTCCGTCCGTCCACAATTTCTTATGAACACTCTAAAGACTACATTTATCATCTGATTGTTTTAAAATTGATATTATATGCCTACATTATTGATATGAAGATTCTATTTAACAAAAGTTACAATCCTAACCGTATGATGTTGATATGCATCATTTAAACTAGTGAAACGAAGAAGCCTATTCAATATTCAATTTCGTCAATTTGTCCTGTAAATGACCTCATATGCTACCACCCTTGTCGATGGGAACTTATCTTAATTAGATGATTGACATTTATAAATTGGTTCTGAGCAGTTAGTTAGGGTTATATAAGAGTGTTGCAATTATTATCTTCCAGAATCAGATTCTACTACTGAACAAATTAACATAATGTGTTGTGTGCAATTTTTAAGGATTGTCATCCTGATTTCAGAAACTTTGTTGGTGCCAAATGGCATGGGTTTAAAGATGCACAATCTGGTATAGCGAGATATGAATGGAGAGTAGGAACAACCATTGGAGGCGAAGGGTTACTTAGCCCTCAAGTTTTACCAGTGGTGGAACTGGCCTATAGATCTAATTTACCTAATAATAAGCTATTGCCTATTGATACTAGAATTTATATTACTGTTAGATGTTACAATAAAGCAGGTAGGACTCAAATTATTTTAATGACGCTAATGATGCTTACAAAAACAATAATTTAAGTTATATCTTACTTGAACAAGCATTACTGTTGTGGACCCAATGTATAAATTCGTAATATATGTAGTAAAAGGGTTCCTACACGAAATATGTTCCCTTTCTAAAATTGGTTAGAGTTATCACCCCCTTTGCGGGATAGAATATAGAAACATGAGGGCATGTCCTCTAGACCCGGCTTCATTGTAGACGAATCGACATCTTTCTTTTGTAAAATTGCATAGGATTACTGTTATATTTATATCATCATCGTTTGTATTATTTATGTATTTCAAAGCCGCCACTGCACCTAGATTTTATATTATTAGGTTTATACAGCGAAGTTACATCAAATGGTTTTAAGATCGATACAACATTACCAGTAGTAGTACAAAGGGCAGTCCCCGTCTCATCGTTTAGTTCTATTTTACCTTCAACTACCATATCAAAATCTAGTATTAAAATTGAATGGAAGTTTACTGATGATGAATCAGATATAGAAAGACAATACATTTCTATTTCACCTCATTTATTGGGAGATTTTAATTCTTCAGCTATGGAGGTAAGTCCTATCGATAATTTTAAACATATTTTATTTTTTGAAAAATGAAACATTTTGATAAAAAAATAAGCATGCCTATAATGAATTCAGTCATTTAGAAAAATACAGTGGCATTACGAGGATGACCACTGGACATTGCCTGAGTAAAATTGCATAGTTGGAAAACTTTTAAGGGATAGATTACTATTTTAAAAATGCAGTGGTTTTACGGGTTTGTCTAATGAACGGTGACGAAGTTAAATTGTATAGTTGGAATACTTTTAGTTTTAGAGAATATATTACTATTTTTGTTTCAGATTCCTAGTGTAGTAAAAGAATTTACATTTTCTGGTCTAGCTCTACACGATGGGAGTAAATATAAAGTTAAAGTGATTGGTTGTAATTTAGCTGGTTTGTGTCTGTCGAGTGTTACAGATGATATAACAGTTGATTCTACACCGCCTACCAGAGGTACGTGTATTGTTTGTACCGATTAAAAGTGTTTATAGTTATGCTTACATTATATAAGAACAAATGTCGTGATATCTGATAATTCATTCTCGATCTAAATAAATCCACGTACTCTAAGAAAACAGGCAATTTTAATTTTTTATTTGTTTTCCACTTTAAAATAAGTAAATAATCTGATAATTATGAAAAATCTGAACTCGATGTCGTTTTGCTTTTGTTCTGGTCATTTTGGAGAATTAAAGTTTTACCATATTACAAATTGTGTATCTTCCCCAATGAAATAATTAGTGAATGTTGTTTCAGGTATGTTTGCTATTGATACTGACCACGCCGCTAACTTAAACAGAGATAGGAATAACTGGAACCACTGGTCTACTACGTCTATTAAGTTAGCATGGTTGGGATTTGCCGATCTACATACTGGTATAACCGAGTATAAAGTCAGTGTTGGAACCAAACCTTTCTTTACAGATCTCAACCAGGCAAGTATCTCTAATTACGGTAATATGTGGTATTCTTGAGCATAATACAATTTTTGGCGTAAATTAGCAGCATTCAAACACCCAAAATCTTGTTAATAAATTGCTTGGTTTCGGTCTGCAATTAATCTTAGGTAATATGACATATTGGTTTTTTACTTCACGAAATTCTTATATGAAAATTTTTTTTTAACAGGGCTATCAACAAACCACGTTTCAACATGTGGCTGGAGATAATTTTAATGATGAAGGAGTGGTACAATCAGTTACAATAACTACCAAGACACTTCATATGGGCAATTCTGTTTTCATATCTGTATGGGCTGTTAACGGGGTAATTATTGCTATTTAATCATTTTCTAGTATATGATATATGTACTACAGTAGAACAAGAGAAATTACACCTCTAAATCGGGTGTATCAGACTTGGGCAAAATTGCCACTTCAGTATCCGTATCTATTAACTACCAATATGTTTTACTTCTAGTCGTTTTATTGTGTTACATATTATTTCATTTTTATTTTTGACATAGGTTGGATTAAAAAGTCAACCTGCTCATTCTGAATTTGAACTTGTAGAAGGAGGAATGTTAGATTTAGTCAGGAGATGTCAACCGTATAATTGTCTTGGACATTGTGTTTGTGCTGGACAAGACAAAACATGTTCAGATGCTGACAACTGTAGAGACATCTCAACAGGTATATATCTATCAACTTTATTAAAATTATTCATTAATTAATTCTTTGTGAACTTTTATGTTAGGGTTTCCTTTGCATTCGTCACAGTAATGTCCCACTGTGTTTAGTCTACCTTAAGTAATTCCAGATATTGTATGCCACACTATTCCCGTATTTCTCTATTGTTGTATATTTTATGCTATCGGCCATGTGATTGATTTCTTATTTATCATCATCCTTGCAGGGAATCCAAATAATATTATCCAAGTTACTGACATGACTAATTTGATGTCATATGATGCTGCACAGACTTACTACACATCGTCTGATAATTTTCTAGCTGCCAGATGGAGGATAATAAACCCACAAGGTATCTCTCCTATAAGGTGAATTAAACTTAGATAAATTAAATATCTGTAATAAACCAACACGGTCTCTCATCTATAAGGCAAATTAAACCCCTTTCATAAACCAACAAGGTCTCTCGTCTATAAATTAAATTAAATTTAGATAAATTAAACAACCCCTTTAATAAACCAACAGGGTCACTCATCTATTAGGTAAATGAAACCTCTTTAATAAACCAACAATGTCTCTCATCTATAAGGTAAATTAAACCTCAACATATCATACAACTGGGCGCAGGCCCGCTATATCATGATGATCTAGGCTTCAGCCTGCCAAAACCAGCTAAGTTCATTATTAACTACATAGCAATTACCATGAATTCAAACTCAGCATATGGTATTTTAGATATGAATGCAGTGCCGGTCATTCCGGTGAAAATTTACCCAGTGGAATATATGACACTGATACAGAAAGGACATGGTTTGATGTTGGTGAAAATACCGAAACTATAATAACTTTACCTACAGGTATACCTTTTAAAAATGTTATTCATTTCTTTCAAGAAACAATCACTAATACTGTATATTTAATAATATGTAATATTAACAAATCACACAACCTTCACTCAGTTACAATAGGATACCGTATCAATACATTCAGCTATAAGCATTGAAACATACGTATAAAGCTCTATAAACAAAAGTCTTCTTTCTTGTAAAGGTGTGTCACAGGGATCGGCTTAAGGTCCCACGGTGTTTCTAGTACATGTAATTTCGTAATATTATTTTATTTATTACAGCTAAAGTTTTAGATAAGTCTGTGCCATATAGTGTATTTGTGAGGGTATGGTATAATGCAAATCAATATGCGATATTTAAGTCTCCTGGTATTACAGCACTGATGTCTGCTCCGAGTGTCAGTCACATAGCGGGAGCTGATGTAAGTACTTAAAAATAAGTTAAAAACTCCAAGCTATTTAATAATTATAACTGTCATTATATCACGATTTTTCCCCGTTTTGATTAACCTATTTTAAATAGAATTATTGATTTGATTTTGAGATGTATTGCTCTATTTTTTATCCAGATAAAAGAATTAGAAACTATATTAAGTGTTAACGATATAGATTACCAAACATCCAGCAATCAGATTATTGTTGGTTGGAAGAATAAATTTAGAGGAGGAATTCGTGGATTAGATTATTTTAAGCCTTATATAAGCACTCATCCACAAGGTGGGTTTTAATAGTAACATAATCACATTAAAAGTTTCACGGAAACATGTATTTATTAAATGTATGACAACATTTTTAAACTGATGTTTCCATTCCTAAGATATTTTTGAACCAGTCCCGACCAATCTCATTATCTAGTATAGTGAGTCTTAAAGATTGCAAAACTTTCTTTTGGCCTCAAATCTTATAACAATTATTAGAAATTTATTCACAAGAGAAGCCCGTAATCAACTCTCTAGGCCATGGGAATGTCAAGTTTTGAAATACGATAACATTAATAAAAATCGAGACTGTAACGCTATTCTTAGCAAAACCTAAAACACTAACAACCCCACTCAGAATAGAGAACTAACTCTCTAGGCCATGGGAATGTCAAGTTTTGAAATACGATAACATTAATAAAAATCGAGACTGTAACGCTATTCTTAGCTAAACCTAAAACACTAACAACCCCACTCAGAATAGAGAACTAAAAGGAATTGTCAAAATATTTTTTTATTGCTGTTTCATTATCTATTTATCTAAATCTTGCATATTGCATCTTTAATAATGTAATCAATAGCGGTCTTGGCGTCTTTTTTTTTTTAAATGTAGGACACAACGTTCATCAGTCATCTACTAGAGTACCTGGAAATACTAGTGTATATACAGCTACTAATCTAAATCTACAAGAGAATAGAGAATATTATAGTACTGTACTAGCTTATAATAAAGCAGGATTATTGAGCTGGGCCAATAGTGATGGAATATTAATAGACAATACAACTCCTACTTCCGGTATTATATATGATGGTAATGGTAAGTAAACTATTGAAATTATTGAATATAGATTGTGGCCCCCCCAAAAAGAACCCCGTAAAAAATTTATTAAATCTTACAGCTTCTTGAACTTTGTCTGCGTACGATCGTTGTCCAAAGTTTTAGTTATCTTGGTCGCTTTGCATAAAGTCATGTTTTTTCCAAAAAGAAAAATTACAATCAACAGTGTTATTCAAAGATTTGTGGGTTTTGGTTGGGAGGGGGTGGGGGCATTGCGGTCACCCTAAAATTACCCAACACAACTCATAGACTTATTTTAGCCGATTTCAATTTCATAATCTTTTAAATCTGGTATGTATTTTCAAGCTGTTTCCCTAAGGAATTTCCTGTTTGGTGATAAGGTTTATTATTTATCTTTTTATAGACAACCATGATAAAATGGCGGATACGGTCTCTTATTATTTCATATTTTACAGATATCTATGATAAAGATTACCAATACTCTACAACAGTTATATCATCATCATGGTATGGTTTTACTGATAGTGGTACTGGTATAGTTAAATATTACTGGTGTATTGGTACTGGTATTAGTACTACAGATTGTAATATACACGACTGGAAGAATGTAGGATTAAATACTAGACTGTCTGTAAACCTAACCTCACCTTTAAATCATGGTAGGCATTCTAAAGTTTCCATATTAATTGAATAAAATTGAATCTATTAGGTATTTTATTCAAAAATACAAACCCTTTCATTATTGGGACACTATATAATATGCTACAGTGTGTATAAATATATTACTAGTCATACTGTTTTCTTATCTCGACACGTGCGAAACTGGTCCCCTACAGTAGTATAGTGGATAAGAAAATGAAAATAAATTTTTTATCTCTTCAAATGCCTTTGGAAATGAAATGAAATGGGGTTTAACGTCCTACTGTTCTGCTCCTAAACTGGGCTAATGATGACGGCAAATGCCTTTGGAAAGAGTCCCCTCTCAAGCCATCTCGTTCCCAAGAATGAATTTCTGAATGTTTTGTTTCCAAATGTGATCTTCTATTATCAAAGTATTACTGCCACCGTAACAAATACCATTACTGTATTTTATTGTTATAGGTATGAAAATTTATAATAAAGTGTATGCTGTAGATGGAAGTGGGTTGAAATCTGATGTAGCAGTGTCTGATGGTATTACAATTGATACCACGCCCCCAGTACCGGTTGATATAGATTATATTGGAGAAAATCGCATCGCCAATCCATCATTTGAAGAAGGCGCGGAGGAATCAAATAAGGAATGTGATGACCAACCACCAGCTCGTTGGTATTTTGACTCCACCTCGTGTATTAAAATTATCCAATCACAACCTTCCGTTTCAAAAGAAGGCGGAACCTATATTAAAGTGAAAGGTCATATTCAACAAACAGTTTTTGATTTAAACACCCAAAGTGCTTACCATGTTATAGTACATGTTGGATATCCACATGATGTTAGCATTCAGCATCACAACGTCGAAGGTTTCGTGCAATTCGGACAAGAAACTCACACTTTCAGCCTTGACCCAGAACGATGCCAGGGGATATGTGACATCGACCAACAACCATTAATAGTATGGAATAAATTTACTTATGTATTCCATCCAAGAGAAGCAAGAGAAGTGATAAGAATTGGTACAAGTAAATTACATATGATATTAGCTGTAGATGATGTATATGTACAACAAGTTAATTATATAGATATAACAAGTGATTCTAATCATTTAATACATTATACAGTATTTAGACCTTATTGGTCATCTCTTCATCTTACCTGGCATTTTAAAGATGATCAAAGTCATATTACAGATTATCAATGGGCACTAGGTAAGTTTAGCTTGAATACATGTACTACTGTATGTAAATATATCAGTGACTATAAGTAATACAATAGTGTTTAAATCATGTAGGTATTTAGTTATAGCAATACATTTCCTGTTTTTGTAGATTTTATTTAGCAATCCAGTTGATTTTGGTATCAAATATATTTACTGATTACATTGGAAAATTACTCAGGGAGCATTCTTATTTTCTAAATCGTTTTGACAACGGTTTTCAATCAAAACAATCATTTTAATTTCAGGAACTGTGAAAGGTGGAACCCAGATTCAGTCGTTCACAAGTGTTGGCAGAAATCAGCAAGCTACAGCATCTGGTCTAAATTTAGCCCATAATACATTACTTTACTTGACGGTGATGTCAACCAATGGCGCCGGACTAACAACTGTCAGCCAATCAGAGAGTATTGTTGCCGATATGACTCCGCCAATAATATCAGAGATGAACGATGGTATAGGTAAGAAATTAAATGTTGATTGTGGGGTACTTTAATGGAAAATATCACTGCCCACCACAATGAAAAATCAGCTATTTAAATAAAATTGACAGAAGCCTATGCTATTATCAGAATGGTTATCCACACCAAGTTCAGGGTTAAAACTTGGTTATTACATGACAGTTTTTTTTACTGTTTACTAAGCCAGTCACAGTTAACATTTGATCAAAACCACGTAACCTTTGTCATCAGAACTCTGAAGGACGAATTCGCATCAACTCGAGTGTTTCTTGTTTGTCTTTCTCTTTTGTTGATTTAAATATGTTTTGATCATTTTAGAGGATGATGTAAATTTCCAGCTAACCAAACTCATATCAGTTAACTGGAAAGTAGGAGATCTAGAATCAGGAGTAGAATATTGTCAATGGGCTATAGGTAATACTTCAGTATTTTTAACGTTGTAATAACGTAATTTGTTAATCGGTTATAGACAAGATTCCCCCCGTAGCCCACTGTATGGGCGAATGCCCGTCTTTATTAGCCCACCCAATGTAGAACAGTAGGACTTTAAATTCAATTTCATTTTGCATTACAACATATAACAAATACCGTATCTCTATGTATGTAACATAAGTTGACGGTTGACTGTAATTATTGTTAATTTCTACAACATACAATCTACTATTTGTATCAACAAGAGAACATGTAGGCAGGGGAGGATCCAGGAATTTTTGCAGCAGGGAGTTTGCCAGCTTCCTGAGACAATGTATCTCCCCCCACCCCCACCTCATGGTCTCTATCATCATTTGGGCGTATATACATATACATTCAGCTTTTTAAACAGAGAAATTCAACACCTCGTTTGACGTCAATTTTTATTATGAATTAATACAATGACATTGTGATTCAATTTCATGGATGCAAAGCATTAATTGTGATATCACATAATGTTTATATCATTATCTCGTGCTTTAAGTGCCCATCCTGTCCCACATCTGACGATAAAGGATAAAGCACACGGCTTCTGGTAGGTTATTTAATTATTCACACGTTGATTCATTTGTTTTACATACTAGGTTCAACGCACGGCGGTGTTGATATACAGCCATTTACTCCTGTACCAGATAAACAATCATTTGCTCAAGTAGAACTCAGTGTTGATCAAATACAGAACTCTAAACTAGTTTATTCTACTGTAAGATGTTATAATAAAGCTGGGTTACCAACTACAGCTACTACTGATGGCGTTCTGGTTATAATCAAAATGGCTGCCAAAGCGGACGGTCAGATCGCTATTCATCAAGATGGAGTATCTGCATATACGGTGAAGGGTGATTGTTATCCATTGACTAATAGTTTACGATTAAAATGGGATTTAGAAAATACCAGAATTGGTACCAAGTCTATACAGGTATTCAATTTTTAAGAAAATGAGAAATTCCAGACAAATGGACTTTTAATCTTATCTGTGTACATTTGAACGCCAAGAATTAGCAGTGTCTTTTTTCATAATAAAACGAGTTAGTGTTTCGGTTTAGAATAATAATAATAATAATAATAATAATAAAACCTTTATTTAATGAGGCAACGTATTTAGTTTGCAAAAAAAAAACTAATCTTCCATAGGTCCCTCCTAAACTACAAAGACATATATACATGTAATATCAGGATAAATTTAAAATCATTAGAAATGCAATAGCATTTTAAAGTGGGAAGTTTGATAAGTCACTCCCAAACTACAAAACATATACATTATACAAGTAGAATATAGGAAGAACACTATAATTACACACAAAATAAAATAGAATGCAGTTGCAAGTTAAAAATAATAAGTATGTCATCAGTTGAATATTATGGTTCCTTCAGTGTGCAAAATAAATGAGTTTTCAGTTTAATCTTAAAATTTTCAACATTTTTACACATCTTTATATCAAAAGGCAGATTGTTCCATAAAAGACATGCAGAATAATGAAAAGTACGTTTCATGGATTCCGTTTTGCATTTTTGAAGAAAAAGAGATTTACTGGTCTGTGAACGGAGTAAGATATCCGTTTTGGAAACAAGAGATTTTTCAATAAAATGGAAATTTAGATAAAGTGGAGTATTAAATGTAATAATTTTGAATGATAAGACAATTTTATCGTAAAGAATCCTCTGTGTAAGGGTAAGCCAACCGAGTTTAGTAAATAAAGAGGTGGACGGAGTTTCAATCGGTGCATCAAGAATAGCTCTTGCTGCCCTCTTTTGTAATTTTAAAAGAATGTCTAATCTACTTTTGGTAGCATTTCCCCAAATAATAGAGCAATAATCAAATATTGGTAGTATGTAACTGTTATAAAACAAAATTCTTGTCTCGTAAGATAAATGATCTTTTATCTTATTTAGGAGAAATATTTTTGATGCAAGTTTTTTAGACATATCTGCTATCTGTGCTTCCCAATTAAGGTCTTGGTCAATTTGAATTCCAAGTAATTTTGCGGTAGTAACCGTCTCAAATTTCTCACCATGGAGTGATAAAGTTAGGTTTTTTTGATTTCTTTTGTGTTTTGTTGAAATCACCCTGACTGAAAAACTGATCAGCAGTGAATATTAGCCAGGCTGCTACATCGATGCTGCTTAATGAGCCCCACAGATTAACTTTTTTTGTTCTGCAAATGAAATTGTTGAACATCTGTTTTAAGCATTAGAAAAATAAATAAAGGTTTTGAAAAATATGTCATATTTAGTGTAAATGTCTTATGTAAACAATGCACGCACCATTGAGCCAATGATTGACGCCGTGTGATGTGACGTCAGGTGTTAAAAGCAGTCATCTTTTACAGAGTTATTAGAAGACTTTCGTAATCATCTGTGAAACAGACTGCCTGACTGGCAGGAAACCTTTTAAAATAAACTTAAACCAAATATGAGACATGTCATCTTTACACGGCTTATATTGGTTGTTACAAGTATTAGATTTATGTATTCTATTACCAGGTATCGGTGTATGGTCCAGGTTATAATTTAGATAAAGAAGTTCGAGTTACAGAGATTAGTTATAACCAGGCTAAATTAAGAAGTTTATCACTACAACCTAACTCTAACTATAATGTTAGTGTTTCTACTATTAATGTATTAGGAAGACAAGACAATTCTTTATCAGCAGTAATAGCATCTGTAGCACAACCTCCTATTTTACAAGGTTTGTATGAGTCATTCTGCCAATAGAAAAATTTCAAATCTGATCTATGATGTGTAAAATTATCCACGGCTTACAAAAATTCTTTACTTTTTTATTGGATTATGTCAGAAATTGGATTTCGTTTGAGCATCTTTAATTTCGTTTATGAAGTGGAGTTCGAAAAAACTTTAGTGCAACTATTCAGCTGTAAATTTGCAACGATAGCGCATTTAACCGGATGTTTTGGCCCTGTTTTTAGAAATATGCACATTTTCTTAATATTATTTGACTGATATTTCAGCGGATTCAAAATTACTAATTGCAAGATCATTTGATGGTAAATCAATGAAAATGTCATGGAGAGATTTATTTACGTCCACGTGGAAGAACCTGTATTATGAAGTCAGTTTAGGAACTTCGCCGGGAGGAGCGGACGTTATACAATGGCAAGAGACAAAAGTTGCTTCCCTTACCATCGAGATGCCTGATATATCGAAGTTACCAAGAATATATTTAACAATAACAGCTGTGGACCCCTGCGGTCTTTTCCTACATTATAATCATACTATTGTATTTTAACATACTGAAATTATTAATTCCAAATATCTTTGTAGATTTTACAATATTACCTATACAAATATCATCCTGTTGCCAATCTTTATAATTTGTTCCGACATTTTAGTTATATAATAGATATATAAATATTAAACCCCGCGGTGTTTCCCGCCATTATACTTAATACAGCAAGAATATTCAATGTTGGATATAGTAGATCTTTATAATTCTTTCCTATATTATAATTATAGTGGCTGCTGTAAGTAGTATTCCTATATTATGATTAGATATATTACAGTGCAGGTTAGTATTTCCTATCTAATTAGGGGCGGTCTAGAATAGTTCTGCGGTTGTCCACCGGGTTTTAAGCGTTTTATGTCGCTTCTTGGGGTACTTGTTATAAATTTCCATTTGACGTAATTAGAAAATACAGTTGCATCGGAGATGTTCGAGTTCGGCCGTATGTAAAATTTAAGACAAAGCTTCTATTCCATCGCTGATTGTATCAATTCATAGCGATTTGTTTACACATTGTAAGTATTCAAGGATTTTCTATAATTTATCGCGTGTAAGGTTTTTTTTTTGGAATTTGATAGAATAAATTGCATCTTATTTTTTTCCTCAGAAATAATATATTGATAATCACGGGACAAAAATGTAAGTATCTATTTAAAAGGTATATATTTACTGCATTCCTGACCTATTTTGAAATTTCTTCCTTGTTCTTTCAGTTTAGCTTGTTTAACAGAGCGTTTGCACTGGGCATAACCCTCATCCACGTGCTGTATTATTTGGCCTAATTATGTTGGATTGTTGCTCAAAATAAACTGAAACCTATCCTCTTTTATTTGTGTCAAACATGTCATGTGGTTGTATGTGCTGATTTATTTTATTGGATGTATAAAAAGCTTAAGCCAGTGTTGTGTTTTGGTCCACATAGTAAACTAAGATTCAATCTTTAGAAACATAAATTGAATTGTGTAAATATTACCAATCATTAATAACACATCAGGTGAATCAAATTCAATATTTTATTTTGGCCAAATCTAAAGAAGATTAGCCCCTCATAACATCTATGTAGGTTAATAAAATTTGCCTGGCTCGCTAACCTGGAGGTCGGGTGTTCGATCCCTGCATTGGCCGAGAAAGTTCATCTGGATTTTCCGACGTGGTTTCCCTTGTCAGTGGTGCAGGACGGAGGGCCTCACAAGGACAGCTGTCTAGTCCTTGTGATGAGACGAAAAACCGAGGTCCCGTGTATACATTGGAATGCACGTAAAAGATCCCTTGGCAGTTGGAATTCGATATAAGAGTAGGCGATAGTGCCGGTGCCCGGGCAAAATTTCCCTCATAGCACACTGTATGGCGTATGCCCGTCTTCATTAGCCCAATATAGGAGCAGAACAGTGGGACGTTAAACCCCATTTCATTTCATTTCATTTATACAATTTGCCCTTTAGCCAAGGCTGTCAAGTATTGCTATAAATCTAACCGCCTCCAAATATTATACATTTCTCTACCATATACCTAAAGGTTTTCATTAGAGTGGTACTCCTGTTCCTCTTTTGGATCCACCGCTGGCTATATGACGTAATTATAACGTCGGCTTCCACCGGGTGATCAATAACGATATAAAGCATCAAATATGTGAAATGGTTAGAACTCAACTTATCAATATGAATAATTTTTGGACCTGACAGTGTCCGGTTTTAAACTGAAAATTTAATGTGGTATGTTTATACTACGTCATCGTGAGAATACAACTAAAGTAGTAGGATTGGTTGCTCTGGAGAGGCGCTAGACACTGTTTTACATTGTTTTTATAAGTTTTAAATCTTAATCCATTAGTCCATTTCGATAAGTTTTGATTCCCGTGGAATTGATGAAACAAATAATAATCGATTCACGAAAAATGTCGCACAAATCATTGTCTTAATCCATTATTTAATCAGAAAAAATTAGGAGTCGTATAACGGTATTTAGTTTGAAACTTAATATCGTGACATTTTGGCGTTGATTTTTAAATTGTATGATCATGATTTCCATATGGCGGCCACTTTGCCAACGAAAATACTATGCATATATGGACATAACTACTATATACTCATTATATATCATTACCTGGCTAACACTTTAATTTTAGTCTATAAAAGGAGCCCATCTTCAAGTTACAATTATTTAGGATGTTTAATCGAAAGCGAAAACAAGGTGTTCATAATCATGACACTTACTATGCAAGTTTTAAGATGCATTATGTTAGAGATAAATCTGACTATAATGCGTCTTTTTTTCGCTTCAAATGATATATAAACTATTACTTATGCATTTATTAGCATAACAAATCTATGTTAAACTCTAGGACATCGGGTGGCAGAGATTAAGAAGGATTAAAATACGAATGTCCTGTCCCGTTGCTACGATAATAAACGATCCGCGCTACATCTTCCAACACCGATAATTTCGCAAAGAATAAAGTAATTTCAATGAACTTTTTAATATATTCATTTTTCATTATCTTTTTTCAAAACCACTATAGCAAGAATGGCCATCTCTTTATGTAAATCTTGGCGAGCATGTAAAAGGTGCCTTGGCAGTTGGAATTCGATATAAGAGTAGGCCGTAGCGCCGCTGTCGTAACCAAATGTTTCTCATTGCACACTGTATTCGTCCAGTCGGAATTTAACCCCCATTAGATTTCATTTCATTTTATGTAAATCTTACATAATGCATCTTTAAGTAAATGTCATGTTATTTGATACACAGAGAACCAACCCTTTCCTAGAAAACTGATTTAATAGCATGGGCGTTGCTATTTATGAAATCATATTGCATTCGACAGTCAGTTAAACTGAATACAAATTTTGTGCTTAGTCTATTCAGATTATATCATAGAACGACATCTATCTTTATTTATTTCTTCTGAACTCACTGGAATACGATTTATTAATTGAAGGCTACAATGAACCGAAGTAAATAATGGCAAATGTTATAAAAGGATTATTTGCGGGTTCACTTTTATGTTTTTATTTTAATGAAATTCATGCCAGGTAAGTATTTCATGACTTTATTTCAGAATATTTATAAAATTATATTAATTTATCTTATTATTTCATTCGTGGAATTAATTGAGAAATATTAATTTTATAGTAATGCACTTGTAAGTTCAATTGTTTGGCATTCATTAATCCAAAATCCAATTGTCGACCAGTTGTAGGCAATGACCCGATGATCTAAACAGACAAGGTGCGATGAACCCAGTGGGTACCCTCCCATTTCGACTACGCCCCATTTCGACTACAGCTTTATAACAACAGGTTATACGTTTGGTGGTTTTATTATCCTTACTTATATACCCTATCTATAGCTAAAATAGATTCTTCCAAAAACACATCCCATTTCGGCTACAGCGTACAACAGATTATACAGTCTAGATTCTTCCATAAAAACATATAAGATTTATTGACATAATTGGAAACAATATGTCAATAAATAGATCGTTCGCACTTCTTAATATTTCCAATTATGTCAATAAATCTATAGAGGTTTGGATGACTGCTGAATGGAAACCTTCTAGGTTGTTTTATTCCTGGGTCCAGCAATTTAAAGGTGGTTCCATAAACAAACAGGAAACTAGTATTGGTAACGTTATCATTAAATTGATAGGCGTTGGTGATGTTTGGAGTTTCCTTTATTATCGACATCCAGGTTTCCTGTTCCAAATGGGCTTGTAATAATGCTAAACCTACTACTCTGCTAATCCAAGTCCTAACTTTTTTCATCTTCTTTGTATTGTACTGCAAGTCCTAAAGCTTGAACTTTACGCCACATACACCCCGAAAAATAAAACAAAACATCCTTCACATCCACATCAAATTCTACAGTAGCAGCTTGGATTGCAGGTAGTTCAAAATCTGTTTGAATGGTGGCTGGTGTTAAAGGTTGATTTAACAAGTCTTCTACACAAGACTTCAATTTCACAAACAGGCGGCAGTAGTTTGTCTTCACCGATCAGGTAGTAACGCAAACGCAAGTGGATACATCACATTTCCACCTCTAGCATGAATAACGCACAGATGGTTCCATAACAAGGAGAATGCTGAAAAGGTACCATCCGTATATAAAACGTCGGTGTTCTGCAGCAGCGTAAGTTGAGCATCTATCTAAAATACCACCATCCTGTCATCTTTACCATTTTCAAATAATAAAAATAGTTTTTCGTCATTCGTCAGTGACCATGGGCAGTCTAGTAATGTCGTAATATGGTCTCTGCGACCATATTGTCTCTATAGCTGATTATTGGTTTCACATATTTTAGAGAAGTCATATCTCACGCACGCAAATTGAATGAGTGATAGGTTTATGTATAAAAACAATGACAATTTGATAAAAAAAAAACACTGGTTATGTAAAACTAGATTGTCAAAATGTCAATCAAATTCTCTCTTGTTCATGAAATGTGTTTGATGGACCAAATCGGGTAATGTTCTCCACTCGATCTTCGGGGTATGGGGGATATTTATTATATCTTTGGGAAATTGGCACCAAGGTCAGTCTATAACGTAAAGCAATTAGGGTGTAAGCAGATGTAAAGGGTGTTGGGCGAAATTCATTACAGCCCACTCATAAATGAAAATACAGTATGTTCTGATTGTCGTGTTTATAAAATATAGACTGATGTCCTAGTGAATGAAACTGAAGTCGTTTGCTTGGGACATAGTTCTAAATAATGTTTACGTACCACTAATGTTGGAGTTCGAATTGTTTTATACATTCAATGGCGCAGGATAACAATTATTTTTGTTTTGGCTGACACAAAAAAAGACAAATACTAATGTATTAATATTGCTAGAATTTTTGTTCTTATAATTAATACTAGCATTATATTGTATTAATTAATATATCTGACAAGTTAGTAGATTCACATATTTGTACGTAAATCAAGTTAGCGAATGAGTGACAGATGGTTACATAAAAAAGGGTTATAATGTGGTAAACATTCAATTCTAGGTTGATAACAGATATCTCATGGGAAGTTTCTCCAGAAAATTTCCATTACCATATAAGGGTGGGTCAATTAACCAATCTCTCTAATTATTTACATCATATTTGACCAATTAGATAATTGAAGGTCCAAAACCCAAGCTACAAAACTATCATATTTGTGAGCAATCTCCAGACAGCAGACAGGTTCTGGAAGGGAAAAGATGTAGCAGTTTCTATATCAGCAGACTCGCCCAGTGAGCCTGGCTGGTTAGTGTTTGAGAATGACTTTAGTATTGTAATCTTTTCTATGCTTGTATCCATGTATCAGGCTATGATACATAAAATGTAAAAACGAACTGTTGCATTGTTATTCCTGGAAAGACAAACGTCTTAAGAAAACAGTAAATGCACAACGTGAGGGGGAAGAAAAACGACAGGTGAAAATACTAGACGATCACACGGCTACTAAAATATGTAGTAAGAAAAGATGCATGGGTCGTACGTAGGATGTGGCGACCGGTTTGAGAAGTTCCGTTCACCACGTCTGACGAAAGACTCATGGTGCTACATAAAATTGTAAATGATTAGTTCAAAAGGTTAGATTAAGATTACTAGTAATAGATGTTTATAATAATAATAATAATAACATGGGTAATGTTTATACAAAACAGAATACAAACTTGGAAATTTGATAGTTAAGTTTATGAGGTCAACGTTACTTTACAGACATATGATGAATAATAATAATAATTAATAATAATATGATTAAGATATACTAATGACCGATTGATATTAAAACAAAGTTTTAAATTAATAATAGTTAGTTCTTGATCTGATGGCAATAACATGTTTTGATCTGACGGATGAAATGCCCGCCCAACCAATCATCACAGAAGAGTGATATGAATTCTTAGAAATCAGAAGAGTTGTGACTA